TAAAAACTTGATAATTTAATGTTCTTAACTACTATTATCTATTATAATATTTGGTTTTCTACTAACATGTCTAAACAAGGTGCCTGTTGGTGATTAGACTTGAGTACATACTAACTATGTACACGGAATCATAAATTTATGATTCCGTGTATATATATATATATATATTCATGGTGAAACTTTATTAATTTCAAAATTTTCAAAATTTTATTACAACTGTCCTAACACCTTGCACTCAGCTATTTTAAATCCTTACTTCTATTTGTTGATTACCTTTCATATAATAGTATCAACTGTAAATTTCTCTTAATATCAAAACATACAACTTACAATTGCTTCCACAGTTTTAGAATGTCCTACTTTTTACTAATTTTTTGTGAATTTATTTTAATATTTTTGAATTACTAATCAGATTGTATCTGTAAAGATTGCAAACATGAAAGCAGAATTTCATTTTATTGTTTTCACCTTTTGAATTGACACCCAGAATCATCTCTTCAAGGATCATGAAGCATGGTAACCCACAAAATAACTCCACACATCACTCACTACCAAGGTTTGTGACAACACCAAGAGACACATACCACCAATACTAAAAAGGCAAGCAACATACACACACTCACAGACACATACACACACAGAGACAGACACCATGAGATGGTGCTCACAGACCCTTCCTTGATAGCCCAGAAGGCTGCAGAAGGCTTATGATTTCACTGTGGCCACTGCAAGAGGACCAGGCTACAACATCAACAGAGAGTGGCCAATTGGTGCTGCAAGTGAGACGTCAACAAGAGAAAGCCACCACATCCACCAGATGCAGAGCCACCCTTTTAATGGGGACACCCTTTTTATGGCATTGTAGGCAGCAGAGAGTAAATAAACACAGTGGCCTCCTCCTCCTCCAGTGCTGGTGTGTGTATATGTACATGTGTGATTATATGATCCTGACTGTGTGTTCTCCCAGTGTGACAGTTTCCATGCTCAGGGACCACCACCACCAAATCCAAGCAGCACATGTGTCTTTGCATGCTCCCCAGATGCCACTGCTCTCAACATCCATTGCTACCCAGATTGCTGCTTAGATTAATCCACACCCTGGCCACAGCCACAACAAGAGAGAAGAAACAAGGCTGTGGAGCTTTGGCAAAGGACATCTGCTATTCCAGTTCTATGCTTTGGTTGCAGCTTGGTTTGTCTTGGTTCAGCAAGTTCCTGGTTTAGATGCTACATAGATATCTGCCAACCATGTTTATTAGAGCAGTAACCAGAGCAAATCAAGTGGAAATTGAAGTTTCAATGTTGAACAGAGTGTGATTCATCTTATTGCTGCTTTACAGACTGCAGTTTGTTTAAAATAATAATAATAATAAATAAATAAATAAAACTTGGAAAATTAGAGAGTTGTTTCTGTGTTAGCAGCAGGCAACTTAGGAGTTTTATAGTTGGGCTTTACACCACTAATTTTACTGTACCAATTTGTTGATTTGTGGTAGTTTGAGATCAATGCAGACTGCTTTTGTGTCAATTGAGGACCCCATTTGAGGTTTATAAATAGGGCTACTTCCACTTCATCTCAATTGAGTAAGGTTGAGCATTTTTGTTTTATTTATTTGATGTGTACATGTATGTTTTGTAGTTGTTTTGCTTCAAATTTGAAATTTGAGATTGAACATAGATCTGGGAAACATCAAGGGCAGGCTGTGGGCCATGGCTCATTCTTCTAGTGGTGTAAGTTGTCATTATATCAGCCTTCATATTCATTAGCATGAAGCTGGGTAAAAGCAATTACCATGTGTAGTTCTACATGTCAATTATATTATATTTTTTCACCAATTAGGTGAACAATACAAATATTATTTTGACATATACAGTGTTTACCCCTGGCATTGGATTTATGTTTACATCCTGCCTTGTGCCCTAATACTAAATCCTCTTTACAGTAGTCAGGCATGAGCACTTGAGAGAGCCATTACATTTATTTATTTGTATATATATATATATATATATATATACAATTTGGAGTGGTATATATGGTATCTAACAGCTAATCGTTGTTGATAACAATTACAATAATAATGCTCAAATGTAAGTGGGTGATTACAGGAATCAATAAAGTAAACAAGAAAAAGCTTATCCTCAGGGTAGGTTAGCACAGCCCTTACAGAACTGTCACCCACTAGACTTCCTTTTGAGAGGCTCAACTCCTCAAACAGTGAAATCCAACAGCACATAACTTCTAACTAATGAGGAGGAAAAATAAAAATAAAAATAATTGGATAAATAAACATGTATATCTGTATGTATAGACACTGTCCACTGCCCAATCTTTCATTCCTATTGAAGCAAATGAAATGTTCAGCAATCACTTCAAATTAATATATATATATATATATATATATATATGAGAAATGTTCGTCAACACTCACCGTAACACGAATTCAAACAGAATTTTTTAAAAAAAAAAAAAAAAAAAAAAAACACCCAATTTTGTGCATTGTCTTCTATTAATCCCAGAATCATGATGAGATCTCATCTATACACTCCTCACCTACAGCTTTTGCCACGACAACCATGTGACAATTATACCGACGCTTACAGTACTCTTGCATTGATGATGTTAATCCTAATCAATCTCGCAGTTTTTGCTAATTGGAGATCCGTGTTGATTCACAGAAAGGCTCCAGAATCTAACACTTAAGTCCAAACCATCCTGCCACCCACCTGAGAGACTATACTGCACAATTGCAAAGGCTGTGAAGAGTGTTTGTTGGATCCATGGAAAAAAGCACGGAAGCCTGGGGATGGATGTCTGGACACATCCCCCTACTCAGCTTCTTTTTCAGATTGGAAACAAACGGGGGCCTCTCTGGAAGAGACCGGAACCAACCTTTTTCCTGGAGGATTAAGTACCTCCTTAACTCCACAGCCTGTGCCACTGATATATCTAAGCTAGATTAAATCAGCTCATAAGTTGCGACAGCGTGGTTTAGTAGTATGATAGTTGCTTCTTCCCAGGACGGTGGCGACTAATAACAACACTGATTCAAAACGTTCACATGCTCCATAGGCGGTTACAGGGATTATCACTCCCCCTCTCTCTCTCTCGACTGCCGCGTCGCACCAGGTATGAATACGAGTTGCACAGTGGCATTGAAGCTCGTGGCAGAAACCGAGTGCAATCGGAATCTACAAAAACATTTTTGGGTGGGATTCGGCCGATGCAACCAACACATTGGGATTGAGAGAATGATTTCTCATGATTTAATGGCGCCCTCCTGTATAGGCACTATTATATTGAACGTAGCCCTGCGAAATCTGCAGGTATAAATATTCGCAGATGCATATTCACTTTTTCGAATGGATTTCCGAGTTGCTCATGATTTGAGATCGAAGGATCTGTGGTTGATTAGCTTGTGGTTGTGATGACCTATGTGCATTGGGTTTCGTGTCTGATTATTCTAAATTGTGACTCAATTTGATCACAAGATTCAACCAAGTGATACATGTGCAGTGTTTTGCCCTCAATATCAGAAATATCAGAAAAATCGGTTTATCTGGATTTTAATATAGTGGCAACAGAATGACAAATTTTGCCTAAGCCGTGTCGAAAAACAATAAATGTGAGCTGGGAAACACCGTTATACTACGATTACTTCGCCGTTTTCGTCATGAAGATCCTTTCTGCTATTTATGATTCTGGATGAATCAGATTCGAAGGCTAAATAAGGTAGCTTAGGACTTGGTGGTACCCTGTTTGTCAAAAAGGTGCTAAATATCAACAGATAGTGTAAGATTTGTGTCAAGTCTTCGAATTAATGAAACAAAACTAAAGAAAGAAGATTTTCTCAACGCTGCAATGCCGATTTAACTCGTAGCTGCAGGCACGTCTTCGTTGGATCTCTTGTGGTGATAAACGATCCTCAAACATGTCTTGCAATGATGGAGAAGACAAACAACGGAGTGGGAAAAAAGAAGCAAAAACAAGACAAAACAGAGAAAAACGTAAGTTATGTTCCAGCAATCTTAAAAAGCTTACTGTTGGAGTTGGAATCACTGGATTCTGTGTCCAAAAAGAATACCCTGAAATAAAGCAATCTCAGAATTTCATATTGCGTGTCGGAAGTTGCTGATGCCGATAAATGCACATTTATGCCGATTCATTGAATAGGGCCCCACAAAGGATGGATGAGAACTATCTCTACAACTGACGTTCTCATTTGTACTAAGGAAGTTCTATCTTCTTGCGATGTTGCGCAGCCCAATTCATCTGCTGGTTCATATGCTTTTTAATAGTTCATGAAGCTACATTCTGTATTCATGAAGATGATGACTTGGGGAAAGAATAGTCGGTATTTGCTTCTGAAGCTTGATAATATGTATGCCGTGTGACCAAAACCTCATGGAAACATACGAAAGAGGTGTGGAGGTAACACTGGAACTGATGATCAGTCTCCAACCTTAACGAGTAGAATCTCGTCGGACTAGCTTCTATTTCGTGCTAGTCATGGATCCCGACCTTTGAGTATCATCTATATTGAGTTTTAGAGTTTCCATTTCAGAGGTCATGCAGAGCAATCGGACAAGGTGGGTGACGAGTCTGCCGAGTACAGATTGTACCAAAATCTTGAGATGAAGGTCTGCACTCGCATTCGTCGTGAATCACACAGAATAGACTCCGGCTCAGTGCAGCAGGAGGACTGCTTCGTCTTTACTTCAGGCCCTAGTGTCTGTTGTGACAGATCCAAAGAAAAACAGTGTCCAGTCGCACCGACTCGGTGGATGTGCACATGTTAAGAGAGATTGCTAGAGTAGTTCCAGTACACAAAAGATTGGAAGTGCAGATTAAGCGTTCTGTAAGTATAAGTACTGCATCATTTAACCGTGCAAACATGCAGACATTACTGAAGACCACACAAGATCTAGGTAATAGATTGACGAAGAATGCAAACAAGAGCTTACGGTCAAGAAAAAGTAGGCATCATATCGCCAGAGGTACGTAGGGCTAAATTACGCATCCTTATGTACATGGATGGCGATATCTTTACTTATGAAACAATTGAAACTTCATTTGAGTTTGATCAAGGGTGCACAGTCGACTATTACAAGGCTCTGTCTACTGCAATAGTTGGAGCCCACACACCCACACGTTGTGAGTATAACTAGGTGCGAGTAATTCTCTTCATGTTGGAGATTGTCACCGACGATCACCGTGTGAATATAAATATGCTGAAGGTGCAAGCCCCAGTAACTTGAGCCGACGCCGCGAATATCAATGAAATGATAATGATTATTGATCCATCTACCTCCAGATCCTTCAGAAGCTGCTGGAGCAAATTAGTCTACTACCATCATTAAATGATACTATTGCAATAGTATGGTACATTCTCAAAAAGAAGATGGGGTGCTCGCTGCATCGACGGATTATCGCCAAGAAAATGGCGACAATGGACTCGGAGAACCTGGAGAAAAAGGTGAGGTCGAGTACAACTCTGACACAGATGGAAACGAACACTCCGGTGATTGGTAGGTTGCAGTCGATTCCTGTGTGCTCTCGAGGCTGGAGCTCGACTTTGGGCTAAATCCAAAGCCGAGCTTGAGGTCAAGTTCCAGTGATCTCGCCGCACTCATGCCGGTGCAGTCCCTGCCAACGTTTGCATGAGATGAAAGTTGGCTCGACATCGCGCTCTGCAACGGTACGCCTTTCTTCGGAGGATGGGTCATGAATTCAGTTGCCCGGGCTTCGTTACTGATACGGGTGGCACTTTTCGCGCTGGACGATCTGGATCCTTTCGGGATCTTCGTGATAGAAGTCGAACGATTACCATCTGATCGCCGTTGCAGTGTAGAGTTGCTTCTCCGCACTGTTGGACCGCGAGAAGTGGGTTGCGAATTCGACCTAGGCAACTGGTTGCAGGTAGTATTTCCGACCCTACCTTTCAGTTCATCACTGCACGGTGGAGGAGCAAAGTTGGTTTTTGCCTTGGCACCTCGAAGAGCTCTTGCGGCTGGAGAAGACAATGACAAGTTGGACACATGTTAGACCCAAAAGGACGACAGTGTTTCAAGGATATAGATTGATACGTGCGATTTTCAATACTAGAAGCTCTTTGAGTTACAGTGAAAGCTTACCACTGTCATAGGCCCGTGCAGCATCTTCAGCAGTGTCAAATGTTCCCAACCAGTGCCGACATCTGCCGATGCGGTCACGAATCTCAGCAGACCATCGACCCCATGGCCGCTTCCTCACACCTCTGTAAGCTCGACCAGTAATTGTCGCCGCCGAAGCCTTCGCAGCACTAACTTTGGTCACATCAGTAACAGCCCGCCTTGTCGGAGCAACTACAGGATGCCTGTAATCATCGAAACAACCGCGTATGTCTGGCTGAAACTTCGACTTGATCTCCGCAGGAGGATTGGCCAGAATATTGTCAGGTGTAGGCCAGAAATTGTCGAGAGCTGATCTTAGACCCTCTGCAGTGAAGACCTCTGGGTATGAGACGGCTGGCGACGTCAGATCAAAGCTCCAGTCCTGAATTGTTGAAATCTCAGTCGCAAGTGACGCATGCTGGTTGAGATCTTGTAAATCGGTCGACGCATTCCAACAGCTGTAATCGTCCTCCACTGCCGATGTGGAGAGAAAGGAACAGTGATGTTGGTTATATTCGGATGTTTGCTTGTTCCCGAACAAGACGGTCTGGCCAACAACTGCCGCAATGCCATCCAAGTCCTTCACGAGTGCACTACTTCCGTGTAATGAACTGCAATCTTCTGAGAAATGCGGAACTGGTGAAACTTCAGCCTCTGATTCGCCGTAACCAGCGAGAAAGGAGCTAGGGTTCAGCTCGCTCAGATTTCCACTGCCGAATTGGTCACTGGACCACCGCCGTTTGCAGTCCGTTTCTAAAAGTGATTGAATTGCGGGATTCTCATCTGACAGGAAAGAGCCAACAGAAAACTCAAGACAATGGGCACTTGCTCTCGTTATCGGACAGCTATCAGGTAAGATCTCTCTCCGTTTGCGCTTCGCAAGAAGCGTACCACCAAGCATATCATGTGACGCCATGAATACTGTAAGTGTAGTGAACTTCCAGGTATTCCTTCGACCTGGACAGATTAAATCAAACCCGAATTACAGCAGCCTGCGTTAGCAGAGCTCAAGCTAAAGGCGCTTTCCTATCACTCGAGCTCCAAGTCCGTTAGGATTCTGCTTTCAGTGTCGACGAATTACGCCGTCTGCCACTTCAAGTTCGCGCCAGAGTAAGCTCGATTTATCTGGTTCTTCAGCCAAGACTCGCTTCGTAGCTGTGCGAAACGGTGAGAGCCCTGATTCCAGTTTCTTAATTGCGCGGTTCAGTTCCAAATCTAGCGGTCTTCTGCAAACATGTTACTCAGGCACGCGCATCCCTCGAGCGGCGGTTGCGATAGCTCAAGTTACTGTCGCTGAGGATACCAACCCCCTCAGCACACTAGATTCCTCCGAAACGTTGCCACATGTGATAAATGCATCCGGACACCCAAGCAACTTCTCGAACGGTGCAGTAGCACGACTCGGAAGCCGCAAATCGACGCCACCACAAGCATGCGCTATCCCGTCAGACGAATGCTGTCGACAATAGAGCCTGGACCAATTGAGCGTTTCAGGTGAAGCAAGCAGCAGACACACATGCGAGTCGACTTGCACGTAAGCTCCGCACAAGCGCTGCTGCAGCAACAGTGCACATCCAGGTATGTGAGCCTGATGTTGGTTCGGACATCCACACGAGCGGGCGCAGAGGGAGAGAATACAGACAGGCACACAAACGTCCTGAAAGAGAGGGACCTCGAGACCCTAATGCCACCAGAGCTCACGGAGAGGGCTTATAACTTAATGGCTGCACAGTTCGTGTACTACCGCTTCGTGACACAATACTAACGTATGTATGCAGTGGTTGTGCAGAGACTCTCGCTAGAATACACTATAAGTTTCCACTTGGGAGCTTCTGGTCTTCTCTCAGTCACAATGAGTGACGAGCCTTGAGATCACCTTCTAGATACATAGGAATCAGAAAGCTGGCTGCAGTTTCTAAATACTATCTGGGCAGTGGGGTGATGGTAGAATGATAGAGTGCAGAAGGGCTTCTACCTGATACTGACGATACACTAGGCTCTCTGCTTAGGCTAGGGTACTACTTCGTAGAGGGGGGCTAAGAGGTTGATGTTTTGAAGTGTGCTGTGGAGTTTGTACTGCCCAAGCTCATCATCATTAGAATTTCATTCCTAACAGGTGGCATTCTGCCTCCTGATGGTTATTGACCATCCCTTGAAGACCCTTTGGGTGCATGTATACATGTATATAGATGTATGTATGTATGTATGTATGTATGTATGTATTAAGTGGTAATCAGAGTTTCATTTTATTTTATTTTATGTTATGTTAAGAGATAAAATTCAAAAAAAAATCTGGGATGAATGAACCATGTAGTGTTTGAATTCATCTCATTTTTTTCTTTAACGTAACTTATGTTGAATAAAATATAAGAAATAAGTAAAGTTTAATTTTCATTAGAGGGTATTAAAGTATTATTTGCAAATCTAATATTAGAGGCATATTGATACATCATTTTAGACAGTAGTATGCATTTAATTATATATTGAAAACAGTAATTGAACATCATGTGTTTATGGTTGAGTTTGAGCATTTGAGACTATGTGTATTCATTTTCATACATAAAATCACATATATTTATATATAATGCCATTCTATGGAGTTTGAATTCAATCAAATTATTTCAGTGATTAATAATTCAATAAGAATGGCAGTATGGAACTCACAAATCCAAGATACTACTTTTGGTGATGCAATACATGGACATGTCTAATCAAGCAAAAAAATTACCCCAACTTAAATCTTGGATTAACCAAAAATAATCAACAATAATTAAGTGACTTGGCAACTTCAAATGTGTTTCTACCCTCTTGGACACATGCACATGCACTCCAAATGTATCTGAATTAAACTAGTTACAAGTTTGCCCCAGTAGTCAATGTCTTTCTAAAAAACCAGATCCCTTTGTCAAGGAATCCTTGGTCAAGTAACAACTCCATGTCAAAGAGAGCATATGACCGCAGAATGCTCCTGTAACCAAGGAAACTGTGGTGTCATTTGTTAAGCTATCAAACATAAAATACCTTTTTGTTGTGGGAGTATGGGCTTGAACTAGCATGTTTGGTTGCATTATGTTAGCATGGCTAAAAATCAAAAAGCCTCCTTCACAAGAGAGTGACTTTCATCATACAATCACATGTACCTGAACTTATCCAACTCTTTCAATAACTCTTGCAACATATTCTGCAACCCCCATGCCCACATGGCTACATTGGCCCCACCATTGGGATGTCCTGATATGACCTAAAACAATCTAAAGTAAGTTCTTCTCTTGTAGGCATTGAAGGTAAAGGAACATTTACATTAAATTAAATCTTGGTTTTGTGCTGGACATTCTTAACCAAGACCCATCTTTGGCAACCACCAGCATAAACCAGGGTAATGTAACCAGGGTAACTGTAAATTCAACATGTAATGACTCAGCATGGAAGTCATTGCCAAAAAAAACCATCAGGCTGAGAGGCTTTGTATTTTCCCATCCCATCTTTGGTTAGAGTGGAGAATCCTGCACTCCTTAGCCAAGAAAAAGATACTCTTGTTCCCATGAATAGACAAAAGATGCAGGCAGCACCCCATCTGCTTTAATGGCCTCTAAACCTCCTTTTGCTCCTCTCCCATGCCTGCTTATTCAAGGAAGCATACCAGACGTCCAATGAACCCAGTTTTTTCTCATTGCTTTACTCTGGAGGAAGGGGGCCACAGTGACTATGTAGGCAAGTGGTACTGTTTCTCCTTGTGGGTAACAGCTGCTGTTCCTACTCTTAGTTTCATGCCCTTGAAAGCATATACTCTCAGCTACCTACTTTGTTTTCTACAGCCTTTTTTTTGCAACAGGGGATTTGCTTTGCATTGTTGGTGGTTGCTGGTCTTGCCTGATTTGTCCAGTTTCCCAAGCATTACACAGTTGCCTGCAGATCATGCTTGTTCCCATGTCAGGCTGTGTGCTTTAGCTAGTCAGGCAATTAGCAACCGTGCCTTTCTTCTCTTTAATTATTTCTGCCCCTGGTCTCAAATGTAACTGTCTTCAGAGGAAGGTGCCAAAAAACAATAATGTGAACCTGGTAACTGCAAGGCTCAGGCAATTTGATCTCCAGCAATCCAGTACATGAGACCGGATGAAGATATAAGAATGAAACCTAGCCTTTATAGTTTAATTTTTTATATTCATCTTTTGAAATTTAGTGGGTGATTTTGAAACACTTTTTACACCAAGTTATAACTCTGCATACCAAGGTTAGGGTCCACTATTATAGCATTAAAAATGAAGACATTTCAATCTCTCTGGGGGTGAATTTGTGTAGTGCTACATTGTAAATGAATGTTACTTTGGAGACATATTCTAAGATTGATTCTCATCAATATTTATTCCCAGAGGATGATAGTAATACTAATAATAAATAAATAAATGTAAGAAATTGATTATCTCTCTGAAGAACCATATGATGTTACAGGTGTATGTGTATGACAGTAATTTCAAGTGCTTGCAATGATTTCTAGGGTCACCTTTTCAATGTGGATGCTAGATCTTAAACCACAGTAACCTCCAAAACAGGATGGAGTTTATATAAGTTGTATTGTGAATTTTAAAGCAAGTTACTTCAAAGAAAAAGGATATTTTACAGAATAAACTACATCACTAAATTATGATTAGAGGCCAACCTCTGGTCAGGGAATTATCACTAAATGGTCATGTTTGTTCTCTTTTTACAGACTTCATTTGCGGTAATTATATTTCCCAATTCAAGTGCTAATAAGTGGGGACTATTAGAGTTATTTCCCACCTGTAATTATCATTTATTTTATTAAGGTGCATTGAAAAGAATGGAATATTAATTCTGGTAAAACTGTGTCCAACTAATCCATTTATTATACATTCGTTGAATCTGATTCAACTAAACTTTAAATGAGGTTGCCAAAATTTTCCTTTCATTGATGATAGTAGGCGAAAGCCTATCAATACAAAATTCACTACCCCTTTATAATATAGCTCCATAGGGAAGAATTCCATTCCAGTGAGCATAAACTTGAAGGGTGAAAGAGGACATACACAGGCTCACATCAATTGAATAACGCTCTAGCACACACTCTCTCTCTCTCTCTCCGAAGAAAATTTTATGACAGTCAGATCTGGCAATACCTGATTTTTTCGGTTAAAATTTGGCAGGGATTTCGGTCCTGAACTTGATTTACCAGGTGCCAAATTGGAGTGACTGCTAATCCACAACACAGTTATCCTGGCAGGAAATTTCCACGTTCAGCCAATACACACACTCACAGACACACAGCAGCCTGAAATCATCTGGGCAATGTTCCAGTTTAAACGCAGGTCTCAGAAAAAATTGAGAAATCGGCAAAACCCAGTCGTCCATAACCTGGTAAAATACAGATCCTTGGAGTCCAGCGGTGTGAGATGAGACAAACTTCGCCCCTGCGGTGTGAGATTTTTGCGGTCATCCAAGTCGGAGATCTCGCGACTGGCAAAACTCTCAGGACACTGGCAAGCTGAGTGTTCATCCTTCCACTCCCAGATAACCTGCCCACACAGCCTGAGCACCTCATTTACTATAACCATGACGGTGTACCAGTGGGCCAATAGATTCATGGATGGCAAAACTAGGGCTTGCAAGATTCTCCGGCGGAAGGTTCTCCACTCCCACGTTGGGAAATGGACCCATGACGCCAGCACTGGTAAGTTTGATCGTCAGGGGGCTTCCTACTTATAGTGCTCTAGGCTCAAATACCACCGCATGATGTACAAAATACGTGATGTCTACAAAAGAGAGAGAGAGAGAGAAAAAAACAAATGACCCAAGTAAGGAAAAAGTGATTTTTTTTGCAGATACAAGAACAGTTTGATTCTAGTGGCTTTCTGTTTCAGATTCCACGCAGGATCAGAAACTTGAACTCCAACGCACCTCTCAGTGATCTAATACGATCTACGTGGTTCCATCGATACACGCCGCGTATGAAACGATTTAGACGTATTTCTCCACTTCCGCTAAAGACAAGCGGGTGCTGTCAGTTGGCTTACTAAATCTCGTTCATGTGGGAGAGTCGTCAGTCTGAAGTCTTTGGCTTTTTGTCGCTGCGCTGTACAGGGAAAGAGCTCTATTACACAGCCACCATACGTCTACTGTATTCCTGTAATGGCCGACTTTGTAAGAGGAGATACTGTGGACACATCTCTGTGACCCAAGTTGGAAGCACTGGCTGTGGGATCATTTCATGCTTTGGCTGGTCTTCTTCTTGCCTGAGCCACTGGTCCCCAAAGTCACCACACCCTTCTTCTTCTACTTCTTCTTCATGAGTTTAACTAAACCATAATGGAAAATGTGATGGACATTGCTGCCGTTGCCTCTTCCACCCTCCAAAATGCTCCTAAAGCTCAATGTTGTTTTTGCCCACAAATCTTTGTTTTTGTCTAGTGACTTGGCTGGCTATATGACATGGAGGTTGCCTTGTGGTTTGTGCTCTCTTGCTTAGGTTGACTTTACTACTTCTGCAATTGGGTGGTTGCTTGTGGAATGATATTTGTGTTTGTTGAACTTGGAAAAGTGGTAATTACTTGCCTGGTCTCACAAACATGCATACATACATACATACATACATATATGTGTGTGTGTGTGTGTGTGTAAATTTGGCAGTGAGAAACAATTTAAAACATGAATTGGTTGTTATTAACATGAATTGGTTGTTATTGTCCAGGAGAGGGTTTGTTGACTTTCATGGGATCTAACTATAATTAGATGGAATATGAATGGTTTTCAATGTGTGGTACCTAAAATTCATTGTCACCACAATAGTGTAAACTTAATTAAATGTTTTGTATATATGTTGAGTTGTTTCAATTGTATGAATGTGTTCCTCCATGGCACATTTGCAACCAATGAATACCCATTGAAATGAAATAGCCTCCTGATATACTGTACACAGAATAATAGAAGTTATTTATTCACAAGTTTATG